CTAGCACTCAAAAGCCACAGGATGCCTTATATTTCAGAAGGAAATGTTTTATGCTGATATTTGAAATTTTAATTATGCAATTAAAAGTCAGAAAGCCTGCAAATGTTACGTAACTGATTTTTTTAAAAGTACAGACAGAAAATTCTAAATAGTTGATACATTTTTCTTCTTGAAGATATATTAAAAGTTTACAATTTTAGTCTCACCTATTCATTATATAGTTATGGTTTATGAGGAAATAAATAACATCAGTGTAAATCTGGCCCACAGTAAAGTTGGTATGTGATGAAAGTTATATCATTTTAAAACCTAGATCGTTGAGAGGTCTTCTAACCACATCAGTCTGGCTGGAAGTAGTTTTAGGTAACTGTGTAGCTTAAATATGTTAATTACAGTAAAATATATTTAAAAATCCCTTTGGGAACTTTTGCTGTAGGCCAGGAGAGGCGTTATCTGTAGATCAAAAGACAGATGGAAAAATACGGCACAAAGAATCAGATTTTATAATCTCATGTGATAAAGACATCATTTAAAAAAAAAAAACATCATTTAGTGGACTAGTGCATCCGTTTTCTTTTTAATAAATGAGGACTATGGATGGTCTAGGCAAAACTATTTTTTTTTTAGGCAAAACTATTACGAGAAGTTTTTTTATAACAAAGTTCTCATGTTCTTAACCTGTTTTTTAGCCTCCACATAAATCTCTGCATCCAGGATTGGCAAAAAACAAAAAACAAAAAAAACACCTAAAAGGTAAATCACTATGTGCTCTTCTTCCACAAGCACATACATTTTAAAAAGAGACCTACCTAAGGAGAGTAATATTGAAGGCAAAGGAACAGATTTCCATTGGTGAAATTTTAGGTATCACCCAGATACCTGGGCCAAGAAGTTAGTTTTGGTCTATGAAGTCTGGCATTCATCACATTTTACCCTATAAGTAACTATCTGCCTATAAATATTGGCTACTTTATGGATAGTAATTCTCTACAACTTTCCTTTCCAAATACACTCCTATAGGTTAAAAAATTTAAGAAAAATATTTACTCAAAGAAATAAAATATAAATTTAAAATACAATTTTTAGAAATAGTTTATGGTCTCTCTGTCCTATTTTGTGGTTAGAAATAGTTTATGGTCTCTCTGTCCTATTTCAGGTCTTTTAAATGTAATTAAACTTGATGGAAGTTTGTGGTTAGAACAAGCTGATCACTACCAAGTGTGTGTGCTCAGTCGTGTCCGACTCTTTTGCGACCCATGGACTGTAGCCTGCCAGGTGCTTCTGTCCATGGGATTCTCCAGATAAGAATACTGGAGTGGTTTCCATTTCCTCCTCCAGCAGATCTTCCTGATCCAGGGATCAAATCCCTGTCTCCGTGTCTCCTGCATTGGCAGGTGGATTCTTTACCACTGAGCCACCAGGGAAACCCTTTTCTGTCATTATAGCAAACTATTAAATTGTTCTAGTCCATATGTTCATAAGCATTTATAGAGTACCCACTTAACAGCAGGAATCTGGGCCAAGTATTTGGAGACAAAGATGAACAGAACATCTATGGCTTGGAAAAGCTCAATGATGACTAATTTTGCAGGGATCAGAGTAGATAGCATACAGATATACAACGCAATTTTAACACCTAGATGATTAAGACTTCTAATAAGGGTATGGACTGAGTATTATGAAAGCATTAAAGAATGGAAATATAAAGAAGCATCACAGGGGTAACATTTAAACCAGAATTTAAGGAATAACAAAAATCTGGCAAGGCACTAAAAGGGAGGAATATTTTCTAAGAAGGTGAAATGGCATGAGCAAAGATACTGTGGTAGGGCATCATGGGGGGAGATGATACTAAAACAATGGGAGAAGCCCACTGATAGGCCTCCTATATCATTCTAAGTTGTTTAAACTTTAACTTGCAGGGGTTGACGAGATTTCAAATAGGGAAATAAAATAACCTGATTTGTGTTTTAGAAAAATTAACTCTGGTGGCAGTAAGGAAGACAAGTTTTGAGAGAGCTACAAGCAGGTAAACTAGTTCTAAGATTATTTCAATAGTCTTGAGGAATGATTATTTCAACAGCCATGAGGAGTGATGAGGGCCTGAATTAATGATATTAACAAGGGAAGAGTGGTGGGAATCAGGAGATACTTAGGCAGTAGACAACAGAGACTGATGACAAAGTGAACGTGAATGAAAAGAAAGAGTGAGGGAAGAAGGAAAGGGCGGAAACTTTTGAGGACTATGATGGAGACAGGAAATACAGGACAGGAGGGCTTTATTTTCAGAGGAGTAATTTTTCACCAAAAAAATCTATGACACAGAAGACAGTGATTTAACTTTCTAGGATGTTGGAGAAGACTTGGTAGAGAAAAGGCAGTTGAACTACTCCTGTGGGTTTGATAAATGTGGTGATACTAATGATATAATTTGCAGAATGCTACAGTAACTGATTATGAACTAGGCATCTTTACATACTATCCAGTTTATTATTCACATAAACTTTCCCTGTAAAATCAGTGTAACTGTCCAAATTTTTTCACTGAAAAGATTTTGCTTCAGGCGTTAAGTAATCTGCCCCAAATCTGACAGGAAATAGGTAGGAAAGCAGGGACTCAAACACAGGTCTGTTCAATTTGACTACAAATCTTGACTATCGTCTACACTGCAGTGGGTCTCATAGGATGAATACAATTCTCATGAAGGAAAAGGGCCAAAGGCTCCAAGGAGATAGGCCAACATATATGAAGGCATTTAGCCTTGAAAAGGTAGTGCCCTTCTGAAGAATGAGACAGTGTAGTGTGAGTGAAATGACAATAGGAAGGAGTATGCAATACACATTGTTCTAAAAGCATCACATGTATTATCTCATCTAATTCTTACAACATTATGAGGTAGTATTACTGTCCACATTTTATTGTCCACATCAGCACAATGTTTTAAAATAAAATGTCCTAGTTCACATACCTATAATACATTCTGAATCCAGAGCCTGAGATTTTAAATTAACATGTTGAAGACATATGAGCATTTTTACTTATTTTACCATGATCATATACTAGTTTTATAGTAAAGTATAGTTAGGATTGGGCTGCTGAATTTAATATTTAGGAAATTACTGGTGATCTTAAGAAGAGCAATTTTAGTATAAGAGCGAACCATACTGTATTAAGTAGTAGACGAGCAAATGGGAATTGAAAACTTAGAGTGAATACAGATCAGCTATTTAAGAAATTCAGTTGTGAAGGGAAAAGGGAAAATGTGAAACCTTTTAGTTTAAATTTTAATTACTGCCTGGAATACTGATATATTTACAAAGGACCTTCAAAAATAATTGCTAGTAATAATAATTTCAGATTATATTAGAGGATACTAATACCATTTAATAAAATCTTACAAGGTGGCTTCCTGGAAGGTTATCATCTTATATCCAATAAAATAGGCTGATGCCCACCGTAACTGTGATGAAGATACACTGCACACTTGAGGGCAACTAGAGATGAAAGATAGTGTATAAAATATGGAAAGGAAAGCCTTTTAATACTTCTTCTAGGTCTGATTGCTAGAAATCAGAATAAAAGATTTAACATTTAAATTAAAATTTAACATTTAACTCTGGTAGCTGACATAATTATTGCAATTAAACCCTGTCCATGGTTGGTGCCATTTCCAAGTCTTGATTTGTCTGTTGTTAAATGTGAAAAATAAGGGCAATATCACTAGTTTTTCAAAAGGTTAAGCATTATAAGAGAAAATGTTATTTCTACTTCTTGGGGTACAAAGTTATTTCTTTTACAAAATAATAAGATAACTGATGAGATTTTAAAATGAAAGTTGACAACATTTCCAAATATTTTAGAAATCTAATGCTCTTTGGGAAACACAATTTTAGGGAATTTTAGTTATGTAAAGAAATTAAAGCATTACATGTAAAGAAAACTTTGAAATTTTAAAGTACTTGTAGCTTTTAAGCAAGTTGAGTCAAAATAGACTTTGACTGTCAAAAGTTATCAACTTGTAATTGACAATGAAATGAGATTGACCTAAATATCTATCTTGGTGTTCTTAGAACGTTAATGTTTATAGACACGTGAATAATTATAGACAGTTGCTGGTCAAATATAAACTTTATCTTTAAACCTATAAAAATATAATATCATAAATCATAAGTTTCAAGGTAGAAGACATTGATTTAAAGATTAATATGCAAAATTCCTAATATGTTTTTAAAAAGTCTTGACTACATATGTACCTGACCTTGGGCTATGAATCAAGATATAAGATATAATTTCAGGGATGTGAGGGAAATGTTTGAGACCTATTTTCAAATAAGAAGTAGTGAGAAGTAAGAAATCTTGAAGTTGGCACTTACACTTCATACTGAAAAAATGAAAAAAAAATTGCTAAGGAAAAGGATGTTTTAGAACCCTTTGTCTTAGAATTTAGTGTCTTATACAGCTTTATTTAAATTTGAATAAAAATGCAAAGGTTATTTAAAATAAATGTCATGCACTGTGAAAAGTTGTCTTGAATTCTTCAGAGGAACCACACAAGAAAATGAATTTCACTGTACTGGATTCTATGTGCCTAGAGGTCTCAAACTGCAAGATTATAGAAGATTTCAGCTCGGGCAGGATTATTTTGATGCTAAATGAATAAAGTTGTTAACTTGCCCGTCTCTTCCCTTTGCTAATAACTTCATGTATTACCTATGAAATGATTTTTATCATATGGCCTCCATGAATTCATGAAGATCAATTACTAAAGTTAAAAAAAGTTAAAAACAAACAAAATAAAAGTTGTTTGCCCTAAACAGTAAGTGACTTTTTGACCCCAAATTTAAATATGACAGGTAGTCTAAAAAAGTTCATTTGGCTCAATCCACTTTTGTCTTAAACTATTAATAGCTTGAATAACATATTACTTAGCTGCCAAAACAAAGTGCTTTTGCCATGTTTTGTTTCATACTTTTGAAATAATACAAGATCATTTTACTTACTTCTGAACTTTATCATTGGCCGTTCGGGAGGCCTCTACGGCATGCTGAAGCTCTAATTCCATGTTTGCTCGATCTGTCAGAGCTTGCTGCAGTTGGGTAGCCAGTTCCTCATTTTGTTGTTGAGTGATGGAAACAATGTTGTCTCTATTTTTTAAAGCTTCTTCAAAGGTACTAAGTGTAAGATTAAACTGATCCTTCAGATTTTCTTCTTGGGATAAAGATTTGTGTAAACTGAGAAAATATTAAAAAAAAAATTTAAACATAAATATGTAGGCTCACTGGCCAACAATCTATTAAACAAAAATCTCCAGTTAGAAAGATCCATTTCTAAAAATCAATAAAGGTATACTTAAATGCATAAATGAAAGTAATTTTTATATCACAATATTATACTTGATAATTATCCATTTCTCTGCTTCTAAGCTGAAAGCTACCCAGACAAGTGATTATCTTTGCTACCAAAGCATACAAAAAGATGCTGTAAGATGTTAATTTAATTATATCAGTGTAAATATTACATTCAATTTTCTTTAAAAGGAATAGCAAAGAATTGGAAAATAAAGTATCTCTAGGTAAATAAAAGAATGTAATAAGCTGACTGCAAAGAAGTGAGAAGTAAGAGAATGGGCATCAGTTTAGTAGATCCAGGGTCTAATTCAGCTGAACACTTAATGAGAATGAATGAGGTTTGTACAAATACTGATCAGCCTTATACACAGCATTTTCTGCTTGTCACAGTTGAGATATGAATGAAGTTAAAATTACTAGTCAGATTGCACAGAAATAATATGTATTCAGATATATTTTCTTTTTGTTAATGAATCTTACTCCAAATACACCCACTCATTAAGTCATAAAGAGAAACAGCATATAAATTAAGACCAAATGAATGCAGAAGAAAATGCAGACAAATAGAATCCTAAAATGCTAAAGGTCAAATCTTTGATATGTCATTACACCTACCACCTGAGGTTATTTTGAAATGGCACCAAGCACCTCACTCAATTAAATAAAGACATTTTGAAAATATAAATATTTAATAAGGGGAAATTTAAAATCCACACAGGAGATGTACTTTTTTTATTAAATAAAATCATTTCAGTATATGCATACAAAAGAAATGTCGATGGGAGACTCGAAGTAAAACAACCCAACTATATAAGACAGATTGATAGTGTTGAAAGAAAGTAATCTAATTCTTAAAGCTGCAGAAAGCTTGTCAGGGAACTTTAACTCTGGCCGAATATCTAGCCTAGTACTTTATCTAAAACTTTTCAAACTGAAGTAATTATAAATTTCTTCTTCTTGCTTTAGCAACCTATACACCTCCTCCAAAGTGCTCACTTTGGAGAAGGTGTCATAAGGAAATAAGATGGACGAGAGGCAGGGACAGTTAGCACACCAAAAGAAATCATTCCAGAATTCAAGTTAATCTGGAAGAGAGAATGCTGCTACACTGTGGTCAAGTGATTGATTACTATGTACGAAATAAAAATGGTGTACGGTGCCAGATTGGCGGAGTGCAAAGAAAGTATCTTCCTTTGTGCTTTTTCACCTCTTTATGTTTCTAACCCTTATTTCATTCTTCTTTCTACCAATCCATATGCTTAAAGACTTCTGTCTCTTGCTCATTTTCCTATTCTTTCTCTGTCCTCTCATACTTTCTACATTCTTCCAACTCCCAATTTCTTTCAATCCACTCTTTTTGTTTACTTGAAAGACCCAAGAAAGAAACTAAAAACAAAACAAAGCAAAACCTCTAAAAAGTCTATGCTCTTTACTTTTAAATGTCAATTACATTTAAAATTATGTAATGTGCATGAATCTAAAATATTCAGCTTTGACAAAATGTAAAGAACAAAACACAGAAAAAACACAGAAGACTCCAGTCCTTCCAGTTGATCCCCTTCCCAAAGGTAATCACTAATTCAACCTCTATCAAGATTAATATTGTCTGTTTTTGAACTTTTTGTCTGACTTATTTTACCTAACATAAAGTTTATGAGATTCATCCTATTGTTGCATGTAGTTCCCCTTTTTTTAATTCTATTAAGTATTCTGTTGCATAATTACACAGCAACTTATTTCAGCATTCCACTGTTGCTGCCATGAACAAATTCTTGTATGTGTCTTTTGATGGATCTACATACTTGTTTCTTTTTTGTTTTGGTTTTTGTTTCCAGGCTTACTGAGATATAAGTGACATGAGCACTCATATCTGGAACAGAATTTCTCCTTAGGGTATATGTATGTCCAGATTTAGCAGATACTGCAAAGTTTCCCAAAGTGGTCACACCAATGTACATTCCCATCACAAGGGAGTTCTAGTTACTCTATGTGCAACCTTAGAGTGGGATTGCCAGTCTTTCAAACTGTGGCCATTTTAATAGGGATACAGTGATATTTTATTCTCTTAATGTTGTCTTTTGATGAATGCAAGTTCTTAATGCTAACGAAATCCAGTTTATTATTATTCCATTAATGGCAGCACTTTCTTGTGTCCTATTTAAAAAAATCTTAGCCTATCCAGTTCCTTTGTATTTTAATCTTACATATATGCTCCTCATTTAAAACTTGAAGTTGGTCAGCTTATTTTGGGAATTCTGCATATGCTTATGATACCTAAAACACTTATCTAGTATATTCTAACCAATTAACTATTAAGAATCAATGACTCAGTTTTAAAAATTATACCATTATTAAAATCAATGTTATCCCAATTTAATTCCCTAATCATTCATCACTTATTAGTCTTCTATCATTTAATATTTTCCTTTTGGGGAGTAAGTTTATACTACCTGATTTTAATTTTTTTCTCAGATGGACCTGTGACTGGGACCCTTTATTCTCAAGCTCAAAAAACTACTCATCATTCAGCATGTTTTGGAAACCTTTAAATACCCATCAAGTCTTTCTTGGACTGAAGTAGTAGCTGGAGTGAACTCATAAAAAGATGAATTAGATAATGTCACTCAAAATTCTATAATAGTACCTCAATGAATTCAGAATAAATCTCTGACGATAATAACAAACTACATACTTTAACTAAACCTCACAACAACTTCGGGAGTCCTATTAATATTACTTTTTTACTAATAAAAAACTGAAGCAAAGACATAAGTAATTTAATTAATCTCACCCCTCGCAGAGCCAGGGTCTGAACACCCATCACAGCCTTTCACTTGGGCTGGAATCCTCCCCTACTTGCCATGGGCTACAAAGCCTTCTGTCATCTGGTCTCTCTACGTACCACCTTTGAGCAGACATTCCATTTCTCAGGTACAGCAAGCTTTTCCTGCTTGAAGCATTTGTTTGAAATGCCTTTCTCTCCACGCTTCTATGTGACTAGACTCCTAGGTCTCAGCATAAGTATTTCTTTCTCAGATAAAACTTTTATGTCTCTTCATTTAAATTTATATGTTCCCTCATAGAACCTCTTTTCCTTCTTAGAACTTACAATACTTTGCAGTTTTTTTCAGTATCATCAGGTGATTTACTTTCTAATTCCAGCATATTAACTTACATAGGGAAATTTTATTTTATGGGAAGAATATATTCATAAACTTCAATAAAGCAGAATGTTTATAATTTAGGGAAGTTTTCTTATAGGAATAAAGGTGAAGTAGAGAGGATACATTCCTAGTGTGTATAAATCTATAACCACTGAAGTAAATTTTTGTTTTAGTGTTGATTTTTCACAGCCCCATGGACTGTATCCTGCCAGGCTCCTCTGTCTATGGAATTCTCCAGGCAAGAATACTGGATTGGATAGCCATTCTCTTCTCCAGGTGATCTTTCAGACCCAGGGATGGAACCCGGGTCTCCTGCATTGCAGGCAGATTCTTCACCATCTGAGTCATGAAGGAAGCCTGCACTAACACTTTTCTTCAGAAAGTTCTTCCCTAAATTGACAAGAGGGTCACATTGTTTAGTTTTCTTCAGAGTCATATCACATTTAACCTCTGTTCCAAGTTGATTGAGATGCATTGCTTTTCAGATGCATCTTTTCCCATGAAGCAGCATTACAAATTTAATGGCACTTAAATGACATTGTATAGGAAAATATTTTTAGTTACAGCATGAATATATGACAAAAAAACAATAGAAAAGCTGTTAATCACCCCCAGAAAGAGTATGGCTTACAGGGCATTAACACAGGATGGTAACCAACCCTATTTATATGAAGATAATGAAGTAACACAAAAATTAAATTAACTCTTCCAGTTTTGAAATTATGTAATTCTTAGTGAATGCTTCTATAGAAAGTGAGCCTTTAAAAATCTTTTTACCAGCATTTAGTGAGTAGAGGCCAGAGATGTTGCTAAACATCCTACATTGCAGAGGACAGATCCCCACGACAAAGAATTATCCAACCTAACATGTCAAGAATATCAAATCTGGTAAATAAAAAGAGATTGGATTTGGATTTTGAAGAAGGAGATTCAATTTCATTCTTGCTGGTCACTTTGTCTGAAAAATACAGTACCCCTTTGACTATTATCCTCAACTCTAAAATAATGTGAAAAACCTCATTAAGTTTATATGAGAAAAAATTAGGTGATCTATCTATATGAAAATATCTAGCACAACACCTGGCAGAAACCAGCTATTTATACACTATATAATTTTTTTATATTATAATTTTTAAAGAAATAATTTATATCTAATTATTATGTATTAGATATCATATAATCCTTAGATTTTTTTTAATCCTTAGATATTTTATAAATACTCTGATTAAAAAAACCTGCCTGTTGCTACAGATTTTTCATGAATTGGGAGAAGTAACCTAGTTTTCCTAACCTTATCACTCACTGATAACATTATTAAATCATTTGGGAAAAAAAAAACCAGGCAGGTTTGGCTTGTTTTACTGAATAAAAATAAATAAAGACAAAGCCAGTACAGAAAGCAGAAGTATGAGCTATGCTGTCCTAACTACATTTTCTGAGAAGACGGAGCCTGTTTTTTACTTCCTGGTTTATTGCATTAATTAATTTAATCTGAGTTGCTGACTTACTGTGAGTATCTTTTCTCTGAAGAATTTCTTTTAACATTTCCTGCAAGGCAGGTGTTTTGGTGACAGGCTCCCTCAGTTTTTGTCTGTCTAAGAAAGTCTTTATTTCTCCTTCACTTTTGGAGGGTAAGTTCTCTGGATGTAGAATTCTAGGCTGATGTCCCAAGGTTTAGTCTGACAATTCAAGGTGCTCCAGAACTCTGCTCTGTTTTTC